CATCGACATCCAGCCGCAGGTACGATCATGCGCAGCCAGTCTGCTGATGAGAGGTGAGCTACGAGTCTAGTCACAGGACCGCGCGGTTACATATTCGCAACTCACCATTCCTGATTCAATTGATATCCGAGTAATCATATTCGGAACCCGCGTCTTCTTTATCCAAATATAATTACTCTTGATCTCCAGAAAGCGCGCGAACACGTCTGCCGCGTGATCGGCTCAGGCTCGTATTTCACGATCTAAGCCAATTCTTGATTGTGAGTCTCAGAAGCTTGGAAGAAGACGTTAAAGAAAGGGTTCACATTGAATTTGTAGGTCTCCCATTCAAATTAGCAACGTTCTCCCTCTTATGCTCTTTGACTTGACTTGAGCCTTAGAGAAGCCACGCTGGGAGCCAACAAGCCGCGGTTGGGCGGGGCGCCATGCCATATATGGAAGATCTTGACTTGACTGCAGTGAAGGAGTGTAGATGTCACGTGATTCGACTCGTGAACCAGCCAGCAGGTCGAACCTTGAATCACGAATCGTGAATCAGAATGTTGAACCACCAATCGTGACTCTTTGACTGATCATCATGCTCGTGTAATCGTCTGAATTTTGAATGCGATCGAGTCATTGCAACGACCTTAGCCCTTGGCAAAGGAATGGAGTCGCTACCTCCCACTTAAGCGCAAGCAGATACAGCGGAACGCAAAAAGACCGACTCCGGGCAGCACGACCCAGAAAAGTGGGCGAGCACTACCAGCTCTTCGACGAGCTGGCACATTACCTCTCGACATTTCAACGTTGATCTCTCGTCAAGATGAGACGAGGGCCTGGTCTAGCAGCGCTGGATCGTTCCGCACACTCCTCCGCCTCTTACCAATCATTAGGCTCCGACTTATCCACCGCATCCCTGGCCGAGCTGACAGTCCAATTAGACTCATTCTCCTCATCACTTCGATCTTTCGCCACGCGTCACAGGCACGATATTCTTCGCGATGCATCGTTCAGACACAGTTTTCAACAAATGTGTTCCAAATTGGGTGTGGATCCTCTAGCTGACATTGGTGGTTCTTCGCGAGGTGGTGGTGGCAGTAGGAGTGGAAAACTCTGGGAAGCTGTGGGGCTGGGCGATTGGACTTATGCTCTGGCAGTTCAGGTCGTCGACATATGTGTCAGCTCTAGGAGCCTGAATGGGGGCTTGTTGGAGATGCAAGACCTTTGTAATGCGGTCACGAGGATAAGGACAGGCACCACTGTCCAGAGCATCAGCACCTCAAGCGGCACCTCAAACCTAGCGAGCTCGGGAGCAGCAGCAGTGACTGTGGAAGATGTTCTTCGTGCTCTCAAGACTTTGCAGCCGCTAGGATGCGGCTACGAAGTTCTGACGCTTGGTGGCAGTTTGTATGTCAGGACCTTGCCGCAGGCTTTAGATCCCAGCACCACAGTCCTGCTCTCGCTCTTATCAGCCGCCTCTACCTCAAAGGATGGCTGTTCACCAGGCGCGAGAGATGCCGCGTCAATACCTCGGGATGTTCAAGGTACACCATACTTGACAGCTCAATCGCTACAGTCCGCCATGCCATCTTTGGGAAAGCAAGAGACGTGGACGATAGACAGAGCGGAAACGGCGCTTCGAAATGCCACGCAGAGGGAAGGCTTACTCTGGGTGGACCAGGGAATTTGGCCTCACCGCTACTACTCTTTAGCCATTGGTACTTCCACCTCGGCGAGTAGCATACAGTTGGGCATGACAGCCAAAGCTCCGTAGCTGCTTTCCTTCACAACATCCAAGAAAGCATTCCCTTTCGTTTGGCCGAAGTGCCGAGTCAGCCCTCCGATAGGCTCCTGTGAGTTTGCCTCGGCCAAGAGGCACCCGTTTCAATCGGTCAGCGCGGATTGGCTCTCCTATTCTTTCCTCCACGCTCTCCTGGGACGTTGGGTCATCATCGAGGATGGTGATCGAGCAGAGAAGCGAGATTGAAAGACTTGACTTGACGAGCTGGATCCATTCGACAAACCTCACTCATGCACGCCCATGCAGATCGACGGCAGGAAGACGTCTCTGCTTTACTGGAATCAGCGCGATGCACCGGATGATCCCGTCCACTCCGCCGACCCTCAGCTTCCGGCACTTGTAGGCTCCACCTCGAGCGTGATTTTAAAGCAGGCATGCGGCGCCACTAAGAGCGGGCAGGAGTCTTGACAAGAGCTCCTGGGCCTTTGACTTGTCTAGACGCAAGACATCTCTTCGCCTCTGAACGCACCAAGGAGGGACCCGACCTCTGTGCCATCCATATTTAGCTTTGTAAAGACGGCGACCTCCGCACAAGAAGCCAGTGCCCAAGACCCTTACACAAATACCATGCACGCAGGTGATGTTGTTTGGCATATGCAGGCCCCAGAGCCCGCCCTGGTTTTGCAAGGAGATGTGCACGGACTGTTGCTTGGGCTGGCCAGCACGCCTGGCGAGTCGTAGCTCACCCGTCGAGAGACCCGGCAGGAGCTTGTAGCCGCCCTCTTGCTTGATCCCTGCGGCTCAATCGAGCTTCTTGCAGCTGATAGACGCCCCCATTTTGCCATACGCATTGGGCGGCCAGACAGCCAAGATCGCCTGGTCACAGACGACGATCAAGAAATTATAAAAGCCGCATTCCTGCCAGCCTGGTAGACGACCGTGGTCTGTCGGGCCAGGCCTGGCGCAGCTCACAGGCAACTTTGCCGTAGTAGAAAGTAGCCCATCATGGACGCCCTTCGTATCGTAGGAGGCGCAGCACTTCGCGGCGTCGTCGACGTAAGTGGCGCAAAAAATGCCAGCCTGCCTGCCATGGCCGCCGCTTTGCTTGCCGACGGCACAAGCACGCTACGTGGCGCGCCCGATTTGGCAGACATACGCACCCTGGCGACACTGCTGGGCCATCTTGGCGTTAGGACCACCCGACACGGCAACGATCTGGCCATGGACGGCTCGGGCCTGACTGGAACAGAGGCGCCATACGAGTTGGTGCGCACCATGCGGGCGACCATATTGGTGCTTGGCCCGCTGTTAGCTCGGTGCGGCGAGGCCAAGGTTTCGCTACCCGGCGGCTGCGCCATTGGAGCGCGTCCAGTAGACCAGCATTTGGTCGGACTGCGCGCTTTGGGTGCAGAGATTGGAATTAGCCATGGCTACGTCATCGCCCGTGCGGCCAAAGGTCTTGTGGGTGCGGATGTCACCTTCGACATGCAGACAGTGACAGGCACCGAGAACATCATGCTGGCCGCAGCTTTGGCCAAAGGCACCACCCGCCTGCACAACGCCGCATGCGAGCCAGAGGTGGTCGACCTTGCAGAGTTGCTCGCAAAAATGGGCGTGCCCGTGCACGGAGCTGGCACCGATTGCATCACCATCGAGGGACAAAAAACAGTCTCGCCCTACGATCACCACGTAGTCGCAGACCGCATCGAGTGCGGCACCCTGCTCATAGCAGGCGCGCTCGCAGGCTACCCTCTTACTGTGCGAGGTGGCAACATCGCCCATCAAGAGTCGCTTTTGCATAAGCTGCGCACCATGGGCTGCTCTATCGCTGTTGACGCGCCACAAAAAAGCATCACCATCGCCAAGCCACAGGTAGTTGGGCCAGTGGAGGTGCAGACAGCGCCCTATCCAGGATTTCCAACAGACATGCAGGCGCAGCTAATGGTGCCGATGGCACTGGCCAGCGGCACAAGCGTCTTCACCGAGACCATCTTTGAAAATCGATTCATGCATGTTGATGAGCTGAACCGTATGGGCGCCAACATTCGCGTCGACGGCAGGACTGCAGTCGTCCATGGCGTCAAAGCACTTTCGGGCACAACTGTGATGGCAACAGACTTGCGTGCCAGTGCCTGCCTCGTCTTGGCTGGCCTGGTCGCCGAGGGCGAGACCACGGTCCGCAGAGTCTACCATTTAGACCGCGGCTACGAAGGTCTTGAAAAGAAGCTCGCTAAAGTTGGCGCGACCATCCGACGTTTTGTTGAGATCTAAGATATATTTGTGCCCATGAATCGCCGCGATTTGGGCAGCATGCCTAGATCCTCTAAGTCAGGCTTCAAGTCATTTCTTGTATGGGGCGCAAGGCCATCTTTTTTGCCGACCTAGATGTTTACAAAGCCCAAGTATAACGTCTTCGCGCCTACAATTAAATACGCATAAAAAGCCGTTTGGCTGGCATGTCATGCTTAGGTCGCGGCGATGTGCGGACCTGGTATGATTAGGGCGCCATGACTTTGGAGACACCCACAAAAG